AAAATTTACATTTATACCAAACTGAAACTTTTCAAAATATTATCCTTGACGAATTTGTATGAAGTATGTGCCGAATATGTCCAAAATTTTGTCAGTAGTCAATTGTTTGTTTAAGAATCCTGCAATACTATGCGTCACACATTCTATATTATTAAGTATTAATCTCAAAGATACTTTCTCTCTCGAATACTGCAGATTGATGGAGCTATAGGATGTACTTGAAAAGTGAATTTATTTTCACCCTTTTATTTCTTAGCTACTCACACACACTTTAAGTATTTCACATTGTCTAGGACCAGGAAGCTGATTGGGAGGATTTTCTGGGAGCTCGCTTGTTTGCCTATAGTTTAAATAGATCATCATTTCTTCTCTTTAATTTAGCCTATCCATGACGGCTATTCCATCATGTATTTTAGACTATATCGGTAGTTTTCGAGACTGAAGATCATTTAAACACAGAAAGATGGGTTTTCCTATAATGAGATGAGTAAGCATCTCGATACCATTGAATCTAGCTTAGCCTTGCCTTCCAAAAGTTATTCTCATTCAGAGTGAACTGTATTTTCGATCTCGCACACACTTTAGGATTCGATATCTGGTCATGAGTATCATAAGGACGTTACGACTTCACTCCACTACACGACCCCGATTAACAGTGAGTCACAAGGCAGACGAGACATTCAGGGCAAGCCAGACTCTTCCTAATTCCCATTTATAATTGGATTGTAAATTAAGCAAACATATGTTTGACATTACTATCGAAAACGTTACTTATTTTCTATATAAGCTGTTTTCACGACTGTCAGTAATTTTTTACTGGATTTTGTGTTTGGTAAATATGCCCGAGTAAGCCATAAGAGACTGCTAACTCGTGTCGGTCAGCATATCTTCGTGTGTGATTTAGTGAAGCAAACACATCTTCAAAAGGTCTATCATCAGCAAGTGCTTACGCAGCTGGCAATGTCGGCCTGCATAGCCCAGTCGACAAAGACATGGGTCGCCTTGAATCGGCTTAGCGTCCATTTGCTCTGGCCAGCTCTTCATGTCCAGACAGCGGGCCCAGTTTAGGCAGATGGATGGCAAGACTGATGGTTGCTCCGAGTGATCTGTCTCGCCTGCCGGCAAGTCCATCACACCTCTTCTATCAGGCGTCGCAGCTACAGCGTATGAATTCACACCTCGATCATCGGACTCCACCCAAATTCCCCCTGACGAGGTGGCCACACTTTGATCTGTCGACGGAGCCGTCCATGAGCCCGGACATATCGAGGATCCAGGGATTCGGCTGACCATATGCAAGAGATGCCAAGCGGGACTCTGTCTAGTTCGATTGACGCCGGGTTGGTTGAACCGTAGAGGCCGAAATTTGATTGTTGATTCGGGAGCCTGAGTTGGCTGTGAGGACGGCGGTAGCTCTTCTTTTAACGTATCCTGCGATGACCAGGTATCAAAGTCCACGTCATCCTTGGAGTTGTGGTTAGCCTCACTTTCATTGCTGTCGTCAGTTGGGTCCTCGACTGAGGCCTCCAGATCCATGCTCCAGGTTCCCGTAAGACCTCCGTCGGTATCAGAATTCTGATCTACTTTTTGTAAAAGACAAGTGCATATTTGAAAGTAATTATATTATTTCTCGTATTTAAATGGAGTTTCGATTCTACAAAATATCATTGTGGGAAAATTCTACTACCATTCCTTCATCACCTTAAACGAAATATGGTGAATACATCTCATATTACTTATTTGATACTGGTAAATTACAAT